GTGTGTGTGTGTGTGTGTGTGTGTGTGAGAGAGAAGGAGACCCGGCCCGTGGTCCCCGCACCCCCCCTCGTCGTGATTGCTGTCGCGCGCGCGTGTGTGTGAGACTCGGCCCGTGGCCCCCGCACCCCCCGTCGTGATTGCTGTCACGTGTGTGTGTGTGTGTAAGAGAGACCACGCCCATGGCCCCCGCACCCCCCACCCCGCGTCGTCGGGAGCCGTCGGGGCGGCCCGGCTCGGTCGCCAGGGGGACGGGCGGCTCGGCCGGCTTCGCCAACGCGCGGGCGGAGAGCTACTGGGGTCTGGCGGGCGCGCGATTTCCAAACGCTCGGGGCTTCAGCGCGAGCTGCGCACGGCCCGGGCGTCTCCGCCCCCGTCCACTAGGCGAAGGCTCTTCGAGAGCCGCGAGGCGCTGCCCCGAAGGACGTGCCGGCTTCTCTTTCAAGCGCGGGAGACCCACTCTCGGGGTCCCCACATCACCCCCTCCCTCCCCCCGCCCCCCGCCCCGGCTGCCGACGGAGCGGAGGAGCGGGCCCCGGAGCCCGGCGGCGGGGCCCGGCGGCCGCGCACAGCTGAGGGCCCTGAGGCCGGAAGGCGCCGAGCCCCCTCAGCTGCGGGCCGGTGGGCGTGGTGAGGCGGCACGGGTTCCGTTTTCTCGGGCCCCGGGGCGCTTTCGCTTTCGCTTCCAGCTGGCGTCTGCACCCCGCGGGAGCCGCCCGCCCAGCCCGCGTCGGCCGCCGCCGGCGTCCGGTCCGCCGCGCTCCGACAGGCAGTACGCCCCCGCCGCCGCGGCCATGGCCCAGGCCGTCGTCCTCGGCGAGGTGACCCAGGTGCTGTGCGCGGCCGGGGGCGCCTTGGAGCTGGAGGAGCTGCGGCGCCGCTTGCTGGAGGGCGTCGGCGCCGACGCGCTGGAGCGGCTGCTGCGGGAGCGCGGCCGCTTCGCGGTGGCGACGCGGGCGGGCGCGGGCGGCGTGGTGGCCGCCAAGCGCGTCGTGCTGGCCGTCTCGGCGCTGCGCCTGTGCCGCGTGCACCAGAGCTCCAAGGCCGGCTGCGTGGGGCTGTGCGCGCAGCTGCACCTCTGCAAGTTCTTGGTCTACGGGGCCTGCAAGTTCATGAGGGCCGGGTAAGCGCCGCTCCAGGAGCCCGACGGCGGGCCCGGGACGAGGGGCCCTGCCCTCCCAGCCCGCTTTGGGCCCCCCCTTAAAGTGTGGGGACAACAGTAGGGGGCCGTTCCCCGGCCTCTCCGCCTTAGTTCTCGTCAGCGAACGTTTATTGAGCACCTACTGAATACCGGGCGCTGTGTGAGGGACTCGGGGTTTACGGTGCCCCCCCCCCCCCCCCCCCGCAGCCTCAGAGGGTGACTTGGAGCGCGGTAGCGGGTGGGACGCCCCGGGGTGTGGCGGGGGTGGGGGGCTCTCCAGAGGAAAGTTGGCCGCGGCTGGCTTCCGGCGCTCCACGAGGCCCCGCTCTCCAGAGCGAAGTCTGAGGGCCACACAGCCGGGGGCTTTCTCCGCCCGGCAGCCAAGGAATCTTAAAACCTGTCTCCACTCTTGCTCACTTGCTTACAAGCTGGCGGTGGCTTCTGTAGCATTTGGAAGAAAACGCGTGCTCCTGTTCAGAAGCTAGTCCATTTATGTAGAAGAATTGGCTCCTTTTTTCTTGACTTCCCCCCCCCCCCCTCCCCCCCTTTCTTTTTTTTTTTTTTTTTTTTTTTTTTTCCCCCCCCCCCCCCCCGGCTTAACACAGTAGATGTTGCTTCTTGCTCACGTCGGGTCCACTAGTCGGCATGAGGTCGGGGTCTTGATCCACGCAGTCCTTCAGGGGCCCAGGTTGGCTGACCTAGACTCGGCCTCCTCAGGCCGCGGCTCTTGCGGCCATTCTGGGTGTCAGGTTACAGGGAGCGGGTGGAGGTGGGCGGTAGAGGGTTGGGAGGTTTTTATGGGCCGGGTCTGGACGTGGTAGGTATCTTTCCACACATCCCCTGGACCACGAGATGTCTCATGACCCCCCCTCATGCCTAGATGCAAGGGGGTGGGAGTGGGAAATGTGCCCCCCCCCCCGGAGGCAGCTGCTGAGAAATAGCTTGGTTAGAATATTCCAAGGCCCAGCTAAGGCTTAGGAGGGAGGGATGTGTTTGTGAGAAATTTGAGAGACAGGAAGTTGGTGTGAGTGCGGTGACAGGATGGGAGAGAGGTGATGGCTGTTTTCTTACTGTTGACTGAGAGATGACGCATACTTTTTTTTTTTTCTTCTTCTTCTTATCGACCGAAGGTTGATTTCTTCCTTTTCTTTCTTACTGGCTGAGAGAGCAGAAGTGTGCCCAGGGACAGCTAGCCAAGTCTGCAGCCGAGGAGCACGGCCAGGGTCCCAGGCGCTGGTTTGGGAGTTAGTGGTTGGTGTAGTGGGCCAACGCTGCAGCCCCAGGAGCAGGCCGGATTTGAGGTGGAGGCTGAGGGTGGAACCTCGGGGAAACTGGGCCCTCAGGAGCTGGTGCAGAAGTGTCACCTCAGGGGAGAATGAGGAGCAGCATCTGGAGAAGAATGTGGACATGATAAGTGGATAGTTGGATTGAATGATGGGGATAACTGATGGATCTTGTTAATGTCAGTATTTGGTAAAATAAAGACAGCAGCCCTGTTCTCCAGCCAGTTCCCAAAATTTGGGGTTGGGTCGTATTTGTCTTGGAAATCTGGAAGTCTGATACCTGCTGGCCTACATGATTCTGAGCTTTCCTTTTCATTCTTCTCGGTTCCATTTTCCTTCTGGTTCACCTAGGATGGTTTCTTGAACCTTCCTTCCCTGACTGCTTTTGGGTCACAGAAGGGAGAGTGGGTGTGGTTGGCTGCCGTTTCAATGCTTTCCCTATTACTCTGCTTGTCTTCCTGAACCACAGGGTCAGCTGTTCCAGAAACAGATCATGGCTCCTGTTTTTGCTCATTGGTGACAGCTGGGAAGGGTTCCAAGCCCCTGACTTCTGTCCTGTGCTTAGGGGCAGTGAGCATGGTGGTTAAGAGCACAACGCCAAGACCAGCCTACCTTGTTTCAACCCTGGCTCTGCTCCTTACTAGCTCCATGATCTTGGGCAAGCAACTTTATATCCAAGCCTCAGTTCCCTCATCTGCAAAATGAGGATAATATCTAACTCACCTCATGGGCTTGTTGAGAACTGTATGACTTATAAAACCTTCAGGTAATCCCTTGTTTGTGATAAATGCTCAACAAGTTTTAGCAGCTGTTGTCACCATCCTCGTCATTGTAATCTTGGTGACACCAAGTTTGCCTAGAATGGTTTTCTTTTCTCTCCTTGCTTGGTTCCTCAACCTAAATATTTGGCCCAGGCTTGACACCTTCCAGGCACTGTCCCTTGATTGCTTCTCCACTTCTCTCAGGCTCAGGAGGTCCCCCTTCTGTCTGCACTGATATATTCTGAGCACGGCTGACCTTGCACTTGCCTAGCCATTTTAGAATCCTCTCCGTATCTGTCACTTCCATTAGAGTGGAAAAGGGGAAGAGTCCACATGACTCCACGGTTGTTGGGCTGTGCAGTGGAAGAGGGAAGTTGTCTTTTACTGACATGGGGGAGCCTATGGAAGGTGCTGGCTTGGGGGGGTCAACCAGGGGTTCGGCTTTCTTTTGCAATGCTTATAATAGGCATGACCTTTGAGGTTTGGCAGTGTCTGAGTAAAGCAAATGATATTTGCCTAACTCTTCCGGGTCCTGGTGACCTGGGTGATCATTTAAGACTTTGGATCATCAGGGCCTGGTGCCAGTGCCTGACTCACAGTGAATGTTCAACAGGGGCTTGTTAATGGAAAGAATAGAGGAGGGAAGCAGAGAAAAGGGCTGGGCCTCAAGGCACGAGTGAGTGTACACATACCTTTAACCATAGGTGTCCACACTCATTCATTCAGCCATTGTTTAAGTGTCTGCTAAGTGCCCACTGACTGGCATGCTGTGACTCTTGTTTGGGGAATGGCCCTGTCATTCTTACCAGACTCTGATAAGAGGTGCTGTCCTGGTCCCTAGAACTCGAAAGGTACTATCTCTTCCTTTGTTTTCTCATTGTATAAACATGCTGATTTTTCTCTGGTGCTGCTAAGCAATGTCAGGAACTGTTCTGAAAAATTAAAGACTGATTTTACGAGTTGTATGAGTTTGTTCAGGCAGCCATAGCAAAGTACCACAGACTGGGGGTGTAAATAGAAACTTCTCACAATTCTCAAGGCTGGAGGTCTAAGATCAAGGCAGGATTGATTTCTTTCTGAGGCCTCTCTCCTTGGCTTGCAGATGGTATCTTCTTCCTGTGTCCTTACATGTGTGAATCTGTGATTTTATTTCATCTTCTTAGGAAAACTTCAGTCAGATTGGATTAGGTCCTCCACCCCAACAACCTCTTTTTAACTTGATTTTTTTAACTTTTTAAAAGATTTTTATTTATTTGAGAGAGAGTACAAGCAGAGGGGAAGGGCGGAGGAAAGGGAGAAGCAGACTCCCCGCTGAGCAGGGAGCTTGACTTGGGGCTCGGCCCCAGGACCCTGAGATAATGACCTAAGCCGAAGTCAGACACTTAGCCAACTGAGCCACCCGGGCACCCCATTGATTACCTCTTTATAAACTATCTCCAAATACAGTCACTGGGGGGTTAGAACTTCAACATAAGAATTTTGGGGAGGTGCAGTTGAACTGTGACACCAGCTCTGCTTCTTTGCAGGAAGAACTGTAGAAACAGTCACAGCTTGACGACAGATCACAACCTGAGTGTGCTGAGAACTCACGGTGTTGACCACCTCAGCTACAATGAGCTCTGCCAGCTTTTGTTTCAGAATGACCCCTGGCTTTTGCCAGAGGTGAGTTCCAGGAGGGGGTGTGTATGTGTGTAAGTGATGGGGGAGAAGCCAGGAGGTTGGAAGATAGGAAATAATTACGGCAGAAGAGAAGCCAAGGACCCCATAGTGACCACTGGGATCTGCTTGGGGGAGACCTAGATTGCATTCGTGGCTCTGCTGATTTTTATACCTGTGACCGTGGGCCAAACTTGGCCTGTCTAGAAGCCGCCTTTCCTTCTATTGCATTTGGGCTGGCACCTCTGTTGCTGGGCTTCTTTGAGGTTGGGGGAGTCTGGCCGGTGGCTGCAGCAGGATATTCCTTACATAGGGATGAGGGGATGAGAGAGACTCCAGCCGGCTCCTCCTCATCTAGCAGGACTTGGAACCACGTGTTATTGCCAGACCCAGAGGGTCTGTCTGTGAGGAAACTTTTAAGAGATGCTGACAGGCAGATGATGCTCTCTCTACTGAGTCAGTTGCACCCAGGGAATTTTGAACTTTTGTTGATGTGGATTCTCGTAATGCATTTCAGATGTTACCCAAATCTCGCTGCAATGACTATGTACTAGTTTGGGTCCTCTGAGAAGCAGACACCAAGATGGGATCAAAGTGCAAGAGATTAAGTGGAGAGGGAGCAGAAGGTGGGGACTCTGGGCAGTGATGTGGCAGGATTGGGGAAAGGAAGAGGCCTGGGTAGGAAGAGAGCCTGACTGTAGCACAATTCAAGAGAGCTTCTGCCTGGCCAGCAGGAAGTTCTGAGCTAAAGTAGCTCCTCGTTGCCTGGCAGCAGCCTATGGGAGCATGGTCTCTGTGTGAACAAGGTGGTGGCTCCCGAGGGCAGCGGCAGATCTGAGTGGTGTGTCCTGTGGCCATCACAGGTTTGTGGGATGCTCTGGCACTGTTTCTGGGGTAAGGCTACAGAGATTAGATTGACCTGTTTTAATGAAGACGCTTCCATATTATTCAATTAAAACCACCCATTTGAGAAAGGTGCTACATGGCTTAGTGATTGGCACATAATAGGTATTAACTTTTTCCTTTTGCCTTTTGAAAATTAGTATTGATTTAATTCAGCTAACCTTTTATTGACTATCCACTGTGGGTTAGGTACTGGTGTAAAGGAGAGAAAAGACCCTGTACTGCCCTTCCAGGAGGCGCATTTACTGGGTGAGACAGACAAATCAACATGTGATTGCAAGGTGCTGTTGTAGATGCTGCGGTAGAAGTCAGCACTCTGGTCTCTGGGGCACAGTTGGGGCGCCTGGGAAGGCGTCCTGGGTAGATGGTGCGTGCTCTGAATGCTGAAGGATGCATGAAGGATGAAGGTCTGGGAAGGGGGCACAGAGAGGATGGAACTGGCATGGTCAGGGAACAGCATGTAGGACAGCACAACTTGGATTTAGGATGGGAGAGGGAAGGAGGAGAAATGGGTGAGTGGAGACTCATCCATGCAGCCTTCAGTATCATGGGGAGGAGTTGGGGCGGGGGGTTGTGTTTGGAGAGTGGGCATTAATGTTTTGGAGAGATTATCTTGTCAGTATGAAAAATGAATCAGAAAGTGACCAGTCTGGAGTGTGTAGCCTCTTGTGTACTTGGGTGTGCAGGTTGCTTGAGAACACAGTGCCAGCAACTGGGAGTTGTGACCATAAATTCGGACCCAGTGCAGCTTTCCTGCCAGGCCTTCTGCTCTCAGGCTAGTCACCTCATCAGATGAGCAGTCGGGGGCTACTGCTATGAATGGAGCACCTGCTATGTTCCAAGACATTTGTATTAGCCACTTTGTGCATTTCCCATTTAATCCTCATGATAGCCCAGTGATGTAGGTGGCATTATTCCCATTTCAGGGATTAAAAAGCTGTAACTCAGAGCTAGTGAATGGCCTGCCTCAGGTCAGGCATCTTGTAAGTGGCAAAATCAACGTTAGGGCCTTTTTCCTTGGGGCTTCCATCCCCAGAGTGGAGTTCCTACTGATTTAAGTCTGGGTTCTGCAGCCCTCTGCTGCATTTCTACCTCTTATTCAGTGTAATGCCTGTGAATTGCATAGGTAGGCCCTTGGTGGTCTCTGGCCTGTTGTCATCTCCAGGAGTTTGGAATGTAGAGAAGGAGCAGTTGGTTGAAGTTCAAGTCCCAGCTTTACCAACAGACCAATTCAGCAGACATTGTACATGCCAAATGTAGATAGCTGTGTGACCTAGGGTAAGCCGGTGAACTTCTCTGAATTTCTGTTTGCTCCTGAGAAATGAAAGGACTGTATTTGGCCTTCTCTAAGACGCTTTAAACACTCAGAGCCTCTTGGACCCTGAATTTCAGAAAAAAGAAGATGGTGAGATGAGGCCTGGCTTAGAGAGTGTTGGTGAGTCAATGGGGGAAGGTTGTAGGTGGAGTATGAGGGTTGTTAGCATGCTGCTATATGAGTTACATTGAAATGTCTCCTTTGAAGGGAACAACTCTGATCAGTTGGAAGTTCTTTGGATTTTCCCAGTGGAAGGGCTTGTTCTGTACATTCTGCTGTCTACCCAGTTCCCATTTTATCCAAGGGCATACATTAGTGGCCGTCCATCTAGAGTGGGGGATGTTCTCATAGCTCTGTGACTTGGGAGGATGACAGAATCACAGCTTTGGCTAGGTCTTTAGAGGAACCTCTTGTGACCGTGCGCTGGTCAGGAGGGAGGGTGGTGTCCTGTGAGGCCTTCCTAAGCTGGTGTTTTCTCCTTTTCTGTCAACAGATCTGCCTTCATTATAACAAAGGAGATGGACCCTACGGCTCTTGTTCCTTTCAAAAGCAGTGTATCAAACTCCATATTTGCCAGTATTTTTTACAGGGCGAATGCAAGTTTGGCACTAGCTGTAAGAGATCACATGATATCTCTAATGCTGAGAATCTGGAAAAACTGGAGAAGTTGGGCATGAGCTCAGATCTGGTGAGCAGGCTGCCTTCCATTTATAGAAATGCTCATGACATCAAGAATAAGAACTCCACCCCCAGCAGAGGGCACCCTTCTACCCCGGGCCCACAGGGGACTTCTGGTAAGGCTCTGGACTGGGGCGCTTGGATTCCACATTAATGGAATGTGTGACCTTGGGCAAGTCTGTGCTGCTTTTAGTAAAGCGCAGTTGGTCATTCCTTCCCAGCTAGTGGGTGTTATGAAGATGACTTGAAATCATAGCCATGAACAAGCAAGATATTCTAGACAAATGCCAATTCATGTTGACTGTGAATGAATTCCTGACAGGTCTGATCTGCAGTGAATGAAGGCTATTTTAATTTCAGCTCTCTTGACATGAATAAAGGGAATTTTTTAGTTCCTGTATTTGCTTAGTTCACTACTCCTCTCCAGCACCTAGACAGTGCCTGGCCCACAGTGGGCACTCAGGCATTTGTTGAATGATCAAGAGTCTAGAATCTTTTTTTTTTTTCTTTCTTTTTTTTAAGGAATATCAGGTTTAGTGACAGGCAAATGGGGAAATTTTGAGCAGAGATTGCTTATTAAATAAGCATTTCTTTACCTATTATGTGGGAAATTAATAATGTAGTCCATTGGAGAAGTTATGACACATTGGGGTCCTTTGAATTTCACAGTATCAGCTGTTGGCTGGCCATTCTGCTTATCCATTCTTTCGGTTAACAAATTTGTGTGCTTGCCACGTGCTAGCCACCGGCCTGGGCCCTGGTTATACATTGAAGACTGGGACACAGGGCTTCCCCCGGCCCCCCTCCCCGAATGTACAATCAAACGATTTGTTGGCTGTAGGATTTTAATAGACCTTTAATAGGGGTTATTTAGGATTTTTATTAGACCACTTCCTAAAATATCAGGTGAGTGCTAGGACTACCAGCAAACAAACTTAACACTCTAATCTTACCTGATTATTATATTTAAAAATTGTCCTTGCCATATGTGTTTTTTTCTTTACATTTTCTTCAGTTATTTTGGGTTAATTTCTTTCAATAGCGGGAAGCTTGAGGTAGACAGGTTTTGCTTTAAATATATCTTTAAGAGTGTCAATTGGATTATGGCCTTAGAAAGGGAGGGAAAACTACCTGTACTTGGGGAGCAAGGGCAGTGACCTCAAAGGCTCCAAAGGTGTGGGTTTTGGGTCCAACCCTGTGGGTGTCTTGAGGGGCCTATAAAAACAAAAAGGAAAATGAATAACAAAATAACAGGTGATACTGAATACTGAAGGTGTACAAATGAGTTTTATGTGCTTGTATGGTGGGGGGGGCGGTGGTAAATGTAATTGTTAGGTAAAGTCTCATTAGAGCACTACTAGGAGAGATAAATTTTGAAATCACCTCCATGCCTGTTTTATATTAAAATTGTTATAATTAACGTAAAGTTATTTCAGCAGGTTTCATTTTAAGATTAGGAGCATAGCCAGAGCTGAGAAAAAAGGGTCCCTCCACAGCATCCCGGATTTGGAAAGCAGCCGTGTGGTATTGGGCTCCCCGGCTCCTCCCTAAAAAGCAGAGGGTCCACTTACATGTCTGAGGGTAATTTCATCCTGAACATCATAGGATTTTGTAGGATTGCCTTGCCCACTTTTGTCTTCTGCAGAGAAATGAATTCTCTTTTCTCTCCTTTGTATCTTGAACTACGCTGACTCCACATCAGAAGCTTTGATGGATGCTGATACGTCTTTGTGGTGTTTCTTTGTAGAAAGAAGAGATAGTTCAGGTTCTGTGTCCCCAAACACAGCTAACCAAGAGGAGAGTGATCAGATCTGCTTGTACCACATCCGGAAAAGTTGTAGCTTTCAAGGTAAGTCAGAGGAAGCCCCTTCATCGACTTGCAGGCAGGACAGCTGCTTCTCATTTCAAGAGTTCTGCCCTAAGGCCACCCTTCAAAGTCTTCTCCCCCGTTCTGAGAGGGGTAGGGCCTTCTTAATTGTGAGCTGGGGTGGCATTTCTGCCAAACCAGTTCTGAAGCAATTTTGTTGGGGAGTTGAGGATGGTAAGAATTTAATTTCTGGAAATTAGACTATAGGTGAGTTTTTGGGAACATACCTGATTCATGCAGCGAGGATCAAGTGTTGACCCTCGATCACTTTGCATGAGGTCACAGACCTGCATGGATGCCCAGTCTAGTGGGAACAAATATAAATGTCCCTCCTAAAGGGTAGTTGTAGACTTAGAAATGCCTCAGAAACCCGGAAGGCCCTCCCCGAGGAGGAGATGCCCCTGTGTGCTCTTGGGGAACAAGAACTTAAGTTGGGAGTTTCTCTCCATGGTCCCTCTTTTATCAGAAGTAGCAATTCTTGTGTGTACATGTGTGTCTGTATTTTCACCAGACCTTTGTTTTCTTCTTCTTGCTGTCCTGGGCTTTGACTGAAGAAAGCTTCCTTCTCAAATTTGGTGACTCTTAAAAAAACAACCACCAAACTTCTTGTTTCGTTTTCAGTCTTTAAAAGCCACCCAAGCAATTCAGGACTACTTTCACTATGTAAAAGAGTCCAGTAATACAGAGTAAAGTCTGAAGTCCTCCTTCAGCCTTTCCCAAAGGTAAACATGTGCTGTGTGGTCATGATGCTTGTTTTGCATATTTTTCAACAGATGGGTACATGTGATAGGTACTCCTTAACATGCTTCCTTTACTTAACATTGTGTCTTGGGGATTTTTTTTCCACCTTAGTATGTGTAAGTCCACCTTATTTTTAAAAACTGTAGTATCCAGTTAGAGTGATATTCCACTGAGCATCTGAGTACGCATGTGTATTTCCATACCTCGGTTCCTGGAAGCTGGAATGCTATCTCAAGCATATATGTGTGTCATATATACATGTATGTTTTTTTTTTTTTTAAAGAATTTATTTGACAGGGAGAGATCACAAGTAGGCAGACAGGCAGGCAGAGGGAGAGGGAGAAGCAGGCTCCCTGCTGAGCATGGAGCCCGATGTAGGGCTCCATCCCAGGATGCTGGGATCATGACTTGAGCCGAAGGCAGAAGCTTAACCGACAGAGCCACCCAAGTGCCCCTACATGTATGTTTTTAAAATCAACATTATTGAGCTATAATTTACACAAAGTAAAATTTTATTTTTTTATTTTTATTTATTTATTTTTTATTTTTTTAAAGATTTTATTTATTTATTTATTTGACAGAGAGACAGCAAGAGAGGGAACACAAGCAGGGGGAGTGGGAGAGGGAGAAGCAGGCTTCCCGCTGAGCCCCACGGGGGGCTCGATCCTAGGACTCTGGGATCATGACCTGAGCCAAAGGCAGACGCTTAATGACTGAGCCACCCAGGCGCCCCCACACAGTAAAATTTTAAATATTTAAATTTTTTCAGCGTACACTGAGTTCTGGTAATAACAATTTATAGATTGGAACAGTTTCCTAATTCTAAAAGTGTCCCTTTGTCCCATTACAGTTAATCCTCACCCCCCAGTTTTCTGACCCCATGCAGTCCCTGATGTACTTTTTGTCACTGTAGATTGGCCCTTTCTAGAATTTAATATAAATGGAATCATACAGCACGTATTCTTCTGTCTCTGTCTTTGCTCACTTAGCATGTTTGTGTGATTTGTCCACTCTGGCAAATCAGTAGTTTAACTCTTTTTTATTGCCGAGTAGTATTCTGTTGCATGGATTGACTACGATTTGTTTATCCATTCATATGTTTGATGAACATTTGAGGGATTTCAAGTTTTTGGCTTTTATAAATCTTTTATAAATATGTACAAGTTTTCATGCGGATCTCTGTTTTCACTTCTCTTGAGTGAAGGCCTAGATGTGGAATTACTGGAACATGTAGGTATGTGTTTAACTTTGTAAGAAACTGCCACTGTCTTCCAAAGTGGGTACACCTTCCCACTGGCAATGTACGGGAGTTCGTTGCTCTGTGTTTTTGTTAACACTTGGTATTGTCAGTCTTTTAAACTTTAGCCGTTGTAATTAATGAGTAGCTATATCTCATTGTGGTTTTAATTTACATTTCCATAATATTTCATGTTTATTTTCATGTACTTGCCATTTGTTTGTCGTCTGTGAAGTATCTGGTTAAATTTTTTGCTAATTTTTTTTATATGACTGCTTATTAAGTATAATTCACATACCATGCAATTCACCCATTTAATGTTTTTTAGCATAGTTACGGAATTGTGCAGCTATCATCAAGTCAATATTAGGTCATTTCGTGAGCCCCAAAGAGGTGCTGTGCCCATTAACAGCCTCTGCATTCTCCCCGCCCCCCAGCTCCTGGCAACTACAGGTTTATGTCCTCTCTCTCTGGATTTGCTTGGGTGTTTCATGTAAATGGAATCCTACAATATGTGGTGTTTTGTGACTGTTTTGCCCATTTTCTAATTGGATTGTTTGATCTCTCATTGTTGAGTTGTGAGGGTTTTAAGTATTGTTTATACAAGTCATTGTCAGAGGTATTGAAAATACATTCTCCCAGTCTGTGTCTTTCATGTTCATTTTCTTTATGGTGTCTTTTGAAGAATAAAAGTTACAATATTAATGACTATTTTAGTATCTTTGTTTTTTATAGTTTGTTTCTTGTGTCCTAAAAATCTTTGTTCCAAGCCCCCGAAAATGGCTCTGTGTTGTTTTTTTCCTAGCAATTTTATAGGTTTCACTTTTATGTTTAGGTCTAGCTGTTGTTCTTGATCTGTTTACTCTAATAATTAATCCTTAGGTATTGATTCTTCTATGTGAGTTAGCTTCTCATCCGTGTTATTTTTCCTCATGCGTTGGTTTACTCTTGGAGACATCCTTGAGAATCCTGGGGTCTGCTGGTGATGCAGATTCTGATCCAGGCTTAGTGGAGAAGAGACAGCATGTTTTGCTCGGTGGCATGGGCTGCTGGCCTGTATCCTTGGAGTGGGGTGTGGGCTTTGATGGCTTCTCTTTCTCTCCAGCACTTCTTTCCACACTCATATGTTCATTGGGGCAAAGAACAAGTTGCTGGGCACAAGCAGGGCAGGGAGGGACTGCCTGCTCAAGTGGGTGGGTCCCAGTTATTCTCATTGTGACTGGCCTGGGGTCTTTCTTGCTTTTTGTTACATATAACTCTGAGTTTGTTAAGGACACCCCCCCCCAATATTATAGTAGCTCTCTTCTGCATATTTTACATGTGTTTCTCTCTCTTTAACTCTGTCAGTTTGATTCTGTGTGCTTCATATTTTAGGAATTCTTCAATGATGCTGGTCTTTTGATGGCACTATTTATTGTTTTCCAGCATTTTTGGATTTGTTCTTCTCTCCAGCCTGTCCTTTCAAGTGATGTAGGAAGGAAGGGTATGTGGATGTGGTACTTTGTTTCCCAAATTAATTTGTTTTGTGCAACTCACCTTCCAGAAAGCCTAGACTCTAGAATGCCACAACAAAGCAGGGAACATGAAAACGAGGGAGAAGAAGTTGAGAAAAGGGACAAGAGGACCCGGGAGAGAAGGGGCCTCATTAGCTGGGACTCTGCTCTCACCTGCCACCATGGCTGTGTTGGCCTGCATGGCACCCTCTTTTCTTGGGCACCTTCTGGCTTGTGAGTGATGTGGGCTCCACATTGAGCTCACATTAAGAACTGGAGGCCCCAGGACCCTGTGTCCTTCCCAAGGGAGTGCCAGCCTGGAGAGTGGTGGGTGATGTGCTTTCCCTGAAGGGGGCCTTCTTAAGGGGAGAGTCTTTCTTCAGGCTGTCCGGGACGCACCAGAGCCGGGGTCTGTAGGTGCAGTTCCTGAACGCTGATTATTAACCCTGATCATTTTCTTAGTGCCCTTCAGGGAGGGAACAAGAAATCTTACTTGGTTATGACCTCTGGACCATGACTGTGGCCTTATCTATCCAGGTTGGGCCCTTCATCATCATCCTATTTACATACCCCTGGTAGAGAGTCCAAGAGGTCTCCTGGCTTGGTGTAAGCCGTCCATGCTGTAACTCAGGACCAGTCAGGATGTCCTGAGTGGCCAGAGTGGCTGAACCCAGCCTTGGTGAACTTGGGAATTTCCTCGTTTGGGGTCTCTCTTATTCTCTGAGTCTTCTTGGCTGGGTGTTCTTGTCTGCCCTGCCTGCCTGGCCTCAGGCCTGGGCTTTGACAACCCCAGGCAGCCTGCTCACCTTCCTCTGTGGTCCTCCCCAACCAAGGTAACTTTTGTAGAGTCTATGGGCAAGTAGTGGCATTGAGATGTGCCTGAAAGGCTGCGTACAATTTTATTATTTTATTTGTTTATTTTTAAAGATTTATTTATTTTAGAGAGCGAGGTGCATGTGCAAAAGTAGGGGGAGGGGCAGAGGGAGAGACTCTTTCAAGCAGACTCCCCATTGAGCACGGAGCCCAACTTGGCTCGATCCCATGACCCTTAGATCATGACTTGAGCTGAAATCAAGAGTCAGATGCTTAACTGACTGAGCCACTTGGGTGCCCCTACATAGAATTTTAGAAAATTTTAATTTTTTTCAAGTGTCAAATTAGCCACACTTCATTGTCATTATTTGGAAAGATTAATTAAAGATACACAGAGGACAGCCAGTAAGAAATGTTTCCTTCATACCTCTTTTTTTTTTTTTTAGCACTCAGATCCCCTCCAGAAACAATCATTGTTAACCAGTTTCTTGACTGTCCTTCCATAAAGACTTTATACATGCCCAAGTATGTATGTCCCGTCGGTTTCCTTCTCACATAGGTGCACTACGCACACTGTTTTTACCTTTTTCCACTTAACTAGACATTTAGTTTTTTGGTATATATTCTTGCGGTTCAGAATTCCGAAGACATAGAAAACAACAGAAATCTCTCCTCATAACTTTGTCTCTGGTGATGCAGTTCCCCTCGGCAAGGAATAATATCTGTGTATATATGTATTCAGTCAGAGTATCTCTAATTTTTCTTTTCTATTTTTTACCCAAATAGAGGCATTCTGCACCTTGTCATGTGTCTTTCTACCTAATAGTATATACCTTGGAGGTAGGTCCATATCAGAGTACAAAGAGCTTCCTGCTGCTTTTCTTTCCAGTCTGCCTTTCCTCTGTGGGGATGTACAAGAACCTCGTATAGGATATTGAAAGGTAGAGAGAGAAAGTGTTGGGTGCATTCCAGACGAGACAGGCAGGATGTGCTAGGAGAGACAGAGGTCCCAGGGAGCACAGGGAAGATGTAGGGGGAGTGGCTGGCTGGGAACTGTAGAGCTGGGCCATTCTGTGTATTTTGGCCCTACATACTGTAGGGCAGTATGTATAAACACCTTCAGGGATATGGAGGTGTGTTGAAGGGGTGAGTATGTTAGCATCCAGAAGATCAAAGTGGGCTGGAGCCACACTGCTGACTTACCTGTGGTCAGATGTGTCAGGGTTTGGATGGATTTCTAGTAGAGATGAATCTGGCTCCGTTTTTGGTGTGACCACTTCTTGTCCACATGCTGCATGTATAGTGATAATGGGTCATCAGACTGCCCCCTGCAGTCTGATTGGCCTTCTCACTATCAGCTTCTTTACTGGTGAGATGCAATTCATACATGATGTAACCTACCAACATATGTGTTTTTAAAAATTGATGTAATGTCCTGTTAAAAGGGGAGGCATAAAAGGGAAGTGTGTATAATAAAACACAGTATTTCAATATTTAGATGCTCAGGTATGACTGCACTAAAAATGACTTCCCCACAGATCTCCAAAGTGTTCCCAGGTCAGTGGGCAGCACCACACCCATTGAGAACTATGGGACTAGGTCACGCTGTGTCTTGCCAAGATGTCTTACTTCTTTATATTCTTATTTTAGATAAGTGCAATAAAGTTCACTTCCATTTGCCATATCGATGGCAGTTCTTGGACAGAGGCAAGTGGAAGGATTTGGATAAGATGGAGCTTATTGAAGAGGCATATAGCAATCCCAGAAAAGACAGGTATGAAATATGTCACTTGTGTCTGCTGTGTGCCTGGGCTTCTGTGTGCAGTGTGGGGAGTTTGGACACAGCAGGGTTGAGGTGTGATACCCCCCCACCACACACACACACCCCATACCCACACCCCAGTAAGCAGCCTGGTCCAGAGGTGAAAGCTCTGGGCTGGAAACTGGACATACTGCAGTTTGGTGCCTCTGTCTTCCCACCTTTCTCTCCTTTAGAGAGGAGCTGTGGGGAAAGGAGATGGTGGTACCAAGTAAGTTTTGAATCATTTGCTGCTGGGATTGATCATGTACCTATATCCACATTGATTACTGCAGAAAAGCGAGAGGCATTCATTTGTGAAATTTTAGCCATTTCGTGTAAAGTCCTGCAGCTGAACTACTGTTTATTGTTGGGCTTTTAACTTTTTAATTTTTCTAAGCGTGTCTCACTATTTTCACTTAGTCAGTTCAGAGTGAATTGGCAAGTCCCGGGGAGGCTTATTTTCAAACACTCCTCATATTGTGGATTGAACTTGCTAAAATATGTTGCCAAGAAGAGAATTTAAGCCTACTTTTTAAGTGGGGAAAAATAAATTTGTGCTTAGAGTGCAATTATGCGCAAATGGCTTCTGGTAAAGTATGTGAAACAAATTGTTCCCATTTGGAAGATGAATTGGCTCACATATTCCCCCCTCTCTCTTTTTCTGAGGCAGAATTTACACACAGGAAAGTGCACAGATAGTAATTGTATAGTTCACTGAGTCTTGACAAATGCATGTGCTCATGTAGCGGGACACTCTTACCCAAATAGAGATCATTTTCATCACCCCAGAAAGTCCTCTCCTGTCCCCTTTGCATCCGTGCCCACCACCGTGGGCCACCATTGTTCCGACATCTGTCACCACAGATTAGTCTCGCTTGCTCTTGAACCCCATCTAAATGGAGCCTTACCCTCTCTTCCACCATGTCTAGTGCCTTTCTCTCAGTCTCTGTTCTCAAGACTCAGCCACGTTGTGCTTGTCTTCTGGTGCACATGTGCGAGGGCTTCTGTGGGGCAGATGTTCGGGGATGAAACTGGGGGCGGGGTGGGGGTGGGCTGGGTCCACCTTCAGCTCTGCCAGGTGATGCTAAATTGTTTTCTGAAGCGATCGCACCGCTTTCCACCCCCATTCACAGTCTGTGGTGACCGTCTCCCTAACGTTTGGTATTGTTTGCCGTCTGAACTTTTCCCAGCCTGGGGATGTCAAGTGGTGCCTCCGCTTGCATATCTCTGGGTCCTAATGAGGTAAAGTATCTCTTCGCATGTTTATGGGCCATTTGTGCTTCCTCTGAAGTGTCTGTCCTTGTAGTTTGCTTGTTTTGTTGAAGGGGAAGGTTGTGTGTTACTTAGTTTTAGGGATTCTTTAAATTTCTGGATATTAAATGTGCATTGAAAATAAACTCTTCCTGTCAGTTTATGGTATATTTTAATATAGAGAAGTACTTATCCATCTTTTCCTTTATGGTTTTATACTTTTTGAGTCCTAAGAAATCCTTCCTTATCCCAAGACCATAAGGAAATCTTTCTAAATTTTCTTTAAAAAGTTTCAATGTTTTTTTTTAATAAAGATTTTATTTATTTAGTTGACAGACAGCGAGAGAGGGAACACAAGCAGGGGGAGTGGGAGAGGGAGAAGCAGGCTTCCCGTGGAGCAGGGAGCCCGATGCGGGGCTCAATCCCAGGACCCTGGGATCATGACCTGAGCCGAAGGCAGATGCTTAACAACTGAGCCACCCAGGCATCCCTAAAAAGTCTCAATTTTTTTAAAAGATTTTATTTATTTATTTGACAAAGAGAGACAGTAAGAGAGGGAACACAAGCAGTCAGAGTAGGAGAGGGAGAAGCAGGCTCCCCGCTGAGCAGGGAGCCCGATGTGGGGCTCGATCCCAGGACCCTGGGATCATGACCTGAGCTGAAGGCAGACGCTTAATGACTGAACCACCCAGGTGCCCCTCAGTGTTTTAAGGACTGTGTTTACTCTTTCACTGGTGAAGTATGAGTCCACTTTCATTCTTACACAGATGAATTAACCAGTTTTGCCAAAACTGCTTTTTAAAAAACATAATTAATTTAAAAAATTTAAAATTGTGGTAATAATACACACATAAAATTTGCCGTCTTAACTGTCTTTAAGGGTACTCGGCAGTGGTATTAAATTCACCTTGTTGGGCAGCCATCCCCACCATCCCTTGCCAGCAGTTATTTTTAAACCCATCAGAATTGAACCAAATTTGGCAAAATGTTAACACATTTTATAGCTTATTTTCAGACTCATGTGCCAAATGCCACTTGTTTTTAAGTAAGCCGTCTCCACGGATTTCCAGTGCCACCTGTGACAGGTGCGGAATTAGCAAATACACCCAGGTCTGTTTCTGGCCTCTTCTTTTCCGTTGGTCTGTCTGTCTCTGCCACACTGTCTTACCTAGTGGAGCTTTAGAGTATGTGTTGGCATCTGGTAAGGCAATCTCCCATCTTACCTGTCTTTGAACTGCCCAGGCTCTTGGTCTTTTGCTACTCTTTAGAAATTTCTAAATCTCACTGGTTTATCCTGTTGTGATTTTTGAAAGTGAAATTGCATTCAATTTTGAAATTGAAATTGACAGTCCTAGAGGAACTGACATCATAATGATGCTAAGAGTTTCTGTTGATTTACATGATAGTATCTGATTTATTTAAATCTTTCAAAATAGCTTTCAGTAGTTCTGTAATTTCTCCATTAAGGTCTTAGATATCTTTTGTTAGAGAATTACTTTTTTTTCCTGTTGTATTGAGATAGAACTGACCTACAACAGTGTAGAAGTGTAAGGCGTGCGGGATGATGACTTGATAGATGTATATATTGCATAACGACCACCACGATAAGTTTAGTTAACCTCCCTCACTTCAGACAGTTACAAAAACAATTTTTTCCTTATGATATGATGAGAACTTTTAGAATTTATTCTTTTAGCAACTTTTAAATATGCCATAAAACATTGCTAACTATAGTCATCATGTTGTACATTGCATCCCCATTAAAAATTTTTATGTTTCTCTCTGCTGATGCACAGAAATGACAAAACTTTTGTCAACTGTTGTATCTTGCAACTTTACTAAAATATTTTAACTCAGAAGACTCTACTGATAATTTGAATTAACTATAATTCAAAGTTGTCTGTTACTCTTCATGTCTACCTAGAAATTAATATCTGTGAATAGCATTTTTTAAAAGATTTTACTTATTTGAGAGCGGGAGAGTGAGCACAAGTAGGGGGCAGGGGGTGAGGGATGGGGAGAGGGAGAAGCAGACTCCCCGCTGAATAATGAGTCCGATGCGGGCCTTGATCCCAGGATCCTGGAATCATGACCTGAGCTGAAGGCAGAGGCTTAACAGACTGGGCCACCCAGGGGCCCCTGTGAATAGTATTGTAATTTCTTTCTTTTTTATTCTTATGCATCTTCTTTTTATTGCCTTATTGTAGTGGCTAGGACCGCCTGTGCCATGCCGAATGCAAGTGGTGACAGCTGGAATATTATTTTTTCTTATTTTTTCCTTGATTTTAAAAGGAGTAATTATTAAATGTTTCACCTTAAGTATGGGTGAATGTTTGGAACCTTTGGCCTTGCTAACAAATCCTAATTTTATTCCTAGTATTCTGGGAGATTTTTTTTTTAATTGTGTATAAAAATTGAATTTTATTGAGAGCTTTTTCTGTATTAAGAGCCCATGTTTTGTTCTCCTTTACTTGTTAATGCAGTTAATGACCTTAATTTTCTGATGATAAGTTCACCACATTTCTAGGCTTAAGTCATAGTTAATGCAATTCTCTCTCTCTCTCTCTCTCTCTCTCTCTCTCTCTCTCACACACACACACACACACACACACACACACACACACACACACACTGCTGAATTTAGATGGCCAGTGGTTAATTTAAGATTTTTGCATCCATGTTTGAGTGAGATTGGTCTATAATTTTTTCATATTATCTTGACCTGGTTTTTTTATATTAAGAAGTATCTAACCTCATAAGGATGGGATTGGGATGGTTTCTTTTTCTGTTCTCTGAAAAAAATTATGTAAAGTTAGAATTATTTTTTCCTGAATGATTAACCATGTGTCTATAAGAATATCTAGGCGCAATATTTAATTTATGGGAATATTTTAAACCACTGACCAGTTTCTTATAATTGTTAGAGGATCAGTCAGGTTTTCTATTTTTCTTGATTCAATTTTGGTAAATTTATGATTTTTTCAGGAGTTTGTTCATTTTATTTATTGTCAAACTAATTGTCATAAAGTTGCTTATAATATCCCTTTTAGTATCTATGGCATGTTTAATTTTTTATCTTCTGTATTTCTAATATTCTTTTTTTCTTGATCAGTCGTGCAGAGATTAGTTTTATTTTCAGAGAATTTTAATTTTATTATTAGTATTATTATTTTTTGTAAGAACCAACTGTCCTCCCCTCCTCCCCCTTGGAAACTTTTTTCCCCCTAAGGTGTGTGTCACATTTATGTTCACATCTACCAGTTGAGCCTCTAGAAGACCACAGGTGGAACCTGAGTGTTCACTTGGCTAGTGAAGATTTCGGGTTTACCTCTCATGTTCTTTTGCAGGATCTTGTGTGCTGAATCAGCCAGCAACTTTCACTTCGATTGTCTAGACTTTGACTCCATGATGTTTGGCGCTGTCCCAGTCCGCCGCCTCTCCACAGCCTCCTCAGTTACTAAACCTCCACACTTCATCCTCACCACTGACTGGGTTTGGTACTGGGCTGACGAGTTTGGTTCTTGGCAGGAATATGGAAAACAAGTAAGTGTCATGGAAAGAGGGCAAGTGTTTTCCCCCAAGGGTCCATGATGGAGGAGCTGTTCCAGACATGAGCATGAGGATTGTTCTGGAGAGTCCTTGTAGAGTCCTTGACAGAGCCAGAGATCCCCAGATCCCCCATGACTCACTTGCTTTGGGGGAATAAGGGAAAAACTAGTGAATTGTTCCTTTGTATGAGGTTCTGTCTTTGTGTAGGTATCTGTTGGCCTCATGAGAACTGAATGACTAAATTATAGTAAGATGACTTTTCTTCATTGGTTTTGTTAAATGGCGTAGAAAGATGCCATTTAACTGATGCCTCTCTTACTGTCGAACAGGGAGCTCCAGAGGAAGTGCCTGTGTGTGCCGGAGAGTTTGTGTAGCTGTACAATAAACTTTTAAGGCTTTTTGAAGGTGGCTTTCTGCCTTCTCTGTAGCAGTAACTTCACAGAATGTGGGCAAGTGTAAGAAAATGGATTTATTTCAGGTATTGATTTGGAATCTGTAATAACTGCTGCTGTCAATTATTTGAAGATGTTCATGGCTGGATCAGATTAGCGGGAGCCCCCTGGTCACCTGTAGAGGTACAAGGATAGGGAGGTCACCACGTCCGTAGGGACAGCTTTCCAAAATGAATATTGGGATATGTGGTCTGATAGACATTTATACTCTTCCAGGTTGTAAGAGGCTATATTAAAGCCTGAGATTCTTGTTCTTGTCTGCACCTGGAATGTCTTCTCTGGGAACACTGTAATGAGAGTTGCATGAAAGCAGGGAGTTAGGTCTTTCTTGTGCCACCAGTGTGCCCCCGTGTGGAGGATAGTGCCTGTACCTAGCAGGTCCTCAGGGCACAGATGCTGGCTGAAGGACGGAGTATTTGTCTGTATTTGTCTGTATCTGTATTGCCCTCTAGATAGTTGGTCATGGTCACTTTCAGCAGGGGCCTCACTTGAGCCCTCATCTGCTTCCCCTCCACATCCTCCAGTGCCTGCCTTTCCTTGGTGGCTGTTCCGTCTGCCCTCTTTCCCACCCGTCTCCCCCTCTTGAGCATCCTGGGGTTTCTTCTGGCTTCCTTGCCATGTGGATTTTTTCAAGGAGGCTCCCCGGCATTGCTCTTGGTTTGGTCAGGAGCAGGAGGGGAGAGGCCGTGCCTGGCATGGAGGAGCAGGAGAGAATGCAGGGGCTGGTTATGCTCCATGAATGGAGCTTAGCTTACCTGGTGACATCATGGAGGAACCCATGGCAGGTGAGAAGCACTTAGCAAATGTGACAACCTCTCACATTTTGTTTTGTGATTTGTCCCCCTTCTTGGGGAGCTGAGTGGGATGACACGAGACCCTAGGGACACCTCTGCAAAAGTATGTTTCCCCAGGTGACTTTGCAAACTGGATTGTCACGACTTTAGGAAGTGGGGGCCTTTCTCCTCCAAACAACCCATACTTCGGGCTTCCCCTTTTTCTTTTCTATGCTGCTACTTTCTTGAAGTATAGTCAGTATATAACCTCTTTTAGAACAGTGAGGATCTCTGGGAATGACCTGTATTTGGGTATCATTGATGCACCACATGATGCTGGGGTACAGATGCACATGTGTGGACTCAGTGACTTTTGGTTGTGTGGTCTCATTTGGTACCATCAGCTGGATCCTCTCATAGGGCGGCCTATTCATTCTAGCTTTTCCTTTCCCTCACACACTTATGGTGTCACCCCATATTTGGATTTCTTTCCTAGTTTTCTGCTAATTGCCAGTTGAGGATCATTTTCTTTTTTTATTCAGGGAAGCTAGGTTCTTTTCTGCCTGAGCTCAGGATGTACAGCCCAATTTCAGGTCCACATTGCCTCCACCCTATATTAATTTCCCGAGGCTGCCATAACAAAGTACCACAAACTGGGTGGCTTGGAACAACAGTGATTCATTGTCTTACAGCTGGATGCTGGAAATCAAAACCAAGGTGTCGGCAGGGCCATGTTCCCTTTGAAACCTGTTAGGAATCATACTTGCCTCTTCCTAGCTTCTGGTGGCTTCCCTGGCTTGTGGGTGCTTCGGTCCAGTCTCTGCCGTGTCATCAAGTGGCCTTCTCCCTGTGTCTGTTTGCACATGGCATGGCCGTTCTCTTACAAGGACGTAGGTTATGTGGGTTAGGAGCCCATCCTACTCCAGTATGATCTCGTCTTAACTAATTACACCTGCAGTGAGGTCAAGTTTTGAAGCACTAGAGTTAAGACTTCAGCTAATCTTCTTTGGCGATGGGTGTGGCACAATTCAATTCATCACCTATCTTGGGTATAAAGGTATTACTAGTCTTGGCCCACTGAATTTTCCTGTGTTAACCTTGACCTCCCTGGGGTGTTGGGCTCCAGGATGCCTTACCCTGACCTGTATCCTCTTTGGATCATTCTCAACAGGCTTCTCATGTCATTTGATCTTTGACATTTTTTTTTTCCCTTTCCTGTGATCTTTGCCTTGATCTAAAACCTCTACAATTGCCCTCACCCTTTTGTACCTGAACAACCCATCCATTTTTACTGGAAAGGAAAGACCCCTGTTTATTCCTCTACTTGCCAGGATCTGACTTCTGTTCCTGTTACTTGTCACTTTTCATGGAGTGCCCGTAGGAGGTGGGACCCTGCTGGGCACGACCCTTGCTGTGCTATAGACTCTGGCAAAGGGTCAAGGGCCCAGGTGCCAAATCTTGTGGCATTTCCAGACTTCGCCCACTCCCTCCTCACTCCTGGCTGTCTTGCTCCTTCTGTCTCCTTCATGGGCCTGCTTCTTTCCACTCTCCTTCGTGAATGTTGGGGTGTCCCAGAGTCCAGCCCATACCCCCATTCTTCTGATGTTAGTGGCCACCTTAAGTGATCTCTACACCTCTGTCTCCAGACCAGAGTCCTCTTTGAACTTCAGGCTGGTATATCTAGTACCCGCCTGATATTTCTGTGGCACCTTTGCATTTTGTTCCAGGCACTGTGCTAAGTGCTCTGCATGCCTTGTTTTTAATGATTCTCCCAGCCCTTTAAGGATGGGATGGCACTCTTGGATCATGATGGGGTATGATTTAAGTTTGTTACTGTTCCTATTACTGTTCTGTTGAGATCATTTGAGGTTTAGAGAGGTTAAAATAACCTGTTGCAGTTATAGAGGAGCCAGAATTCAAACTCAGTCATCCCGAAATCTTAGATGTCCTATAGGTAATTGGAGAGAAGATATGGATCAAAATGGATAATTCAGAAATAGAAGAGCTCTCCACAGGCCCAAGAAAAGGACAGAGGAGGACTACGCTCTGAAGGGTGGTGGGTACAAGAATGGGCAGAGAAGGGGCAGCCATGCTCAGGCCATCCCTCCAAGCGGATTGGAGAATTCAGTGTTGGTGTTCACCTTTATTTGAATGGTTATGTCATCCATTATGAGTAATTTGAATGCTTCTTCTTCTTTTGCTGCCATACACTTATCCTGGTTAGTAGGACCTGCATTTACTATTTTCCTGGGCAGCTTTTAGGAGGCATTCGTGTTGGCTTCTATTCTGTGCCCCCCTCTCCTGCCACACCTCTGCTCCCTGGCTCCTCTCTCCCCGCGCCCCTGCTTCCCCCATGACATGGATATCCACCTCGGGCATGTCTGCAGTGTGGTGGGGATGGCACCCAGCAGCTTTCTTCATCATTGTAGGTTCTTGCCTTCATGAAGTCTCTGGCTTTCCCCTGTAGGGCATGGAGCACCCCGTGACCACTGTCAGCAGCAGCGATTTGGAGAAGGCCTACCTGGCATACTGTGCACCAGGCTCTGATGCCCAGGCAGCCATCCTGAAGTTCCAGGCCGGAAAGCACAGATACGAGTTAGACTTCAAAGGTACGTCCTGACCAGCTGCCCTCACCCAGCAGGGCTTGGCCATCTGTTGGCTCTGCCTTTTCTGCCTTCGCCCTGGAGAAGGTCCACGTACACACAGAGGACCAGGAAAGAAAAGGAAGGGGAGGGAGTCCCTGTTCCTGAAGTGCTGTCCACCTGGAAGGGGAGACAGACCTATAACCAATGATGGCAGCCCAGGGGGGTGGAGGAGAAGCTGCCTGGGGAGGGGGAGGTGAAGGGAGAGGAGCCTGAGGAAGGACAGGAGCCCGAAGTGTGAAGAACAGGCCGGGTCCGCGTGTGTGCAGTGGTGCTGGTCTTGTAGGCCGTGGACAAGTCCCTCTGGTCCCAGGGTTAACCTCAGTCCCTTACTGATGTCCTAGCTGTTCTGCTCTGCGCTCTGCCTTGTCCTCCCAGCATAGCAGCTCCATGTTGTCTTCTGTCGGCACCTGTGGCCTAGGTGGGCTCCAGATGGAACACGTGCTAGACACACACTTTGATTAAAAGTTGCTGGAAGCAGATTATCCTGTGCCTGTGGTGTCCCGACACTGAGCTTTCAGTGATTTGTTCTGGTTGCCTTTGCAGACAGATAGAAACAGACCAGATACCCTTTGGCCAGTTCATCTAGTGACTGACTTTGGAGGGTTTTTTTTTTTTTTTTTTTTTTTTTTGGGTTTTTTTTTTGTTTTTTTTTTTTGTTTTTTTTTTTTTAAGTTTTAGTTTTTTCTTTGGCTTCTCTTAAGCCATTTCCTTATGGATTTATCATTTCAGCTCTGTTTAACTCAGTGTTGCCTTACCTTTTAAACTCTGAATCCTTCTGAACATGCAGCACCTTTTGAGGGAATTCACTGGGCCTTCCTGTAAATATGGTTTGCTGTTTTCTTTATTTTTGTGGACCTTCTTCTGTGTGGAGGGCAGCAAAGTATATGTGGTGAGTTATCTTAAAACCACTTGACCTGCCCTGCTGTGGTTTTGTAGTGCTTATCATCTTGCTGAAGGTAGGATCGCTGCCTCCTCAGTGTGCCCTTCCAGAGGACGTAAAAGCATGTTCTGCTCTGCAGGGACAACTTCTTACCCACTTTCGGCATCTGCTGGAGAACACCAGCTGTAGGTCAGGTGGTTCGCAGTCCGTAGTCTGATAGATAAAAATGCACGAAAGGGGACGGCAAGCTACATGAGGATCTAGTCTAAGCACCTGTCGGACTGTGGCTGGCAACTGGTTGAAATACTCCTTTTAAATATCTGGAAAATAGCAAAACCAGAAATGTCAGATGCAGCCTTTATCATTCTCAACCTAGGCTGCATCCCCAGGGGACATAACAGAGAATCAGGATAAGGGTGGGGAAAAAGCACATGCGTGCAGTTTTCTGCAAACTGCAGGAAAAGGTGTGTTCACCCAACACTGACCCAGACTCACTCAATTCTTTTTGTTGGTGGTGGATCCCAGCAGCTACAGAAGTAGTTTGAGGTGAGTTAGGTTCCCATCTGACTGAGAGGTGTAGTGAAAGCAAGTCTCAGACCCAAATTTGCCAGACACATTTATGAACTAAATATTATTAGGAAACAAGTACAGTTAAGTGCACACAGCAGGTCAAATGATTGGTTCTGTAGGATTGAGGAAGACTCAGTGCTGTCATTTTAGGGACTTTTGTCCCAAGCATTGCTCAAGGCCACTGCCAATGCCAAGATTCCAGAGGCAGAACTCCGACATCTGTTAGCTGGCATCAGAAGGGTAGAATCCCTAAGGTCACGCTTGTTTAGGGACGTAGCCGAGTGTATCCCTGCTGAGGGTAAGTTAGGGGAAAAGTCTCACTTTTTCCTGTCTGTAGAAGGGTAGGGAGTGGGTCTCACATATATTTAGCTAGTCTGCATGTCTTAAGTAGTTTCACCAGTGAAAACCCATTTGAGATTTATCATAATGTCAGTCAACAGGCCAATAAAAACCCATGTAAGTGTGCTAATCATTGATGGGATTTGAGTGGTGGACAATAGTAGGGCTTGTGGTAGCCATGTCTGGTGCGTGGGCTCCTGATTAGAATGTGGAGGACCCCTGTGAGTGCCGATCTTGATGACCACTTGGGTGACAGCATGACGGACACATACCTCGGTGATCACACAGTGTATGCTCAAATGCAGTAACATAAGTTACAGAAACCTAAAAATTAATATTAAAATGTTTTTAAGTGGAAAAAAAAAACTGGTTTTGTACTCTAAGTGCAGAAAGTAAGACGTTACAGGGTTTTCCTGGTGGCTAGGGACACGTAATTGAGCTCATAGGTATTTGTGATTTTTCAACTCTGGGGTCGGTGTCTCCTCAGCCCTCAGGATGAACCTGAGGATCTTGGGCGTGGGCATGGGGCAAGAATTTTGTTTATTAAAGATGGTACAGGTTTAAAAAGGTTGGGAAATACTGCTGTGGAGTCGGTTTAGTCAAATTTTAAAAAGCCATAAGAGTAAAATTATTATACTAATTCTAAATCCCACTGGCTCAAGATGTGGTAATTTGGTCTCAGGCTGGGCTGAAGCTTTTTTTATATCCAAGTTGGGAAAAATTGCTAAGCAAAATAATAGTTTAAACAAGATTGGAAGGAACAATTTAAAAGTACTCATGTATAATTGATACATCAATTACTCATCATTCATGTGTTCATTAAACCCAGTCTCCTAAGGATACCTATTTTCTTTGTGAATATTTGAAATGTGAAAATTGCCTAATTTTTTTTAACATACTGATTCTAGGCTTTACACTTTTGGATTAGTTTCCAACCCATTTAGCTTGTATTTATAAAACATTGCTGTCCTGTGTGTGTATATGCATTTGGTGGGTTTTTTTTTTTTTTTTTCAGTGTTTGTTCAGAAAAACCTGGTCTATGGCACAGTCAGAAAGGTTTGCCGGAGACCCAGATACGTGTCCCCGCAGGAGGTGAAGGTGAAGCAAGCCTGGTAGGTGGCGTGTGTACCGGGTCAGGTGTGCTCTGCTGCACATACAGAAAGCCTCAGACTGGCTAATGCAGTAAGAGGGTTTGTTGGCTTGTGTCACCAAATATGCCAGTGCTCTATCTCCAAGTGCTCAGCCCCACCCCCCAGTACTTTCCTTCACTTAATACCATAGTGCTGGTGTTAATATCAGTGTTCCAGAAAAGGCCTGAGAATTCATGAAACTGGAAAATCAGGGTACACTTAGCACATTTCAGTGAGAGAAGTATTAGGATGGATCATAAGATGATAAATATAATGCAGGTTTATAGAGAGAAAGATGTCAGAGTATTCTAATTGTGGTGTAGACTAATTTTTTTTTAAGATTTTTTTTTTTAAATTTATTTATTTGACAGAGACAGAGATAGTGAGAGCAGGAACACAAGCAGGGGGACTGGGCGAGGAAGAAGCAGGCTTCCCGCTGAGCAGGGGATCATGACCTGAGCCGAAGGCAGACGCTTAAGGACTGAGCCACCCAGTTGCCCCTAGACTAATTAATTTCTAATTAAAGCATTAAGGTGCCAAACCAAATGCAACATGAAATAAAGGGAAAAAAAACTAAGACACTGGAAAAAATCGTATAATTAGATTTTTTAAATTAACATATAATGTATTATTTGTTTTAAGGGTACAGGTCTGTGATTCGTCAGTCTGACACAATTCACAGTGCTCACCACAACACATACCCTCCCCAGTGTCCAGCACTCAGCCACCCCATCCCTCCCACCCCCCTCCACTCCAGCAACCCTCAGTTTGTTTCCTGAGATTAAGAGTCTCTTATGGTTTGTCTCCCTCTCTGGTTTCATCTTGTTTCATTTTTTTCCTCTCCTCTCGTATGATCCTCTGCCTTGTTTCTCAAATTCCACATATCAGTGAGATCATATAATTGTCTTTCTCTGATTGACTTACTTCACTTAGCATAATACCTTGTACTTCCATCCACGTTGTTGCAAATGGCAAGATTTCATTTTGATGGCTGCATAATATTCCCGTGTGTGTGTGTGTGTGTGTGTGTGTGTGTGTGTGTGTATGTATGCATGCCATATCTTCTTTAGCCATTCATCTGTCGTTGGACATCTAGGCTCTTTCCATAGTTTAGCTATTGTGGACATTGCTGCTGTAAACATTGGGATGCACATGCCCCTTTGGATCACCACATTTGTATCTTTGGGGTAAATACCCAGTAGTGCAATTGCTGGGTCATAGGGTAGCTCTGTTTTTAACTTCTTGAGGAACCTCCGTACTATTTTCCAGAGTGGCTGCACCAGCTTGCATTCCCACCAACAGTGTAGGAGGGTTCCCCTTTAATTAGATTATTTAAAAAAGATTTATTTATTTGAGAGAGAGGGTGTTTGTGGAAGGGGGGAGGGGTAGAGGGAGAGACTCTCAAGTAGACTCCACACTCCGCACAGAGCCCAACGTGGGGCTCGATCCCACGACCCCTAGATCATGACCTGAGCTGAAATCAAGAGTGGGACGTTTAACTGACTGAGCCACCCAGGCGTGCCCCGTATAATTAGATATTTTAACTGTAAGTTTGCAAGTGGTGTTACTGAGTCATAAAGATATTCTTGTGCAGATTTTTCCAGAAACCAAAAAACTTCTTCCTGACTTTAGACTATAGTTTAGAGAATGATTAGGGAACAGTAATAATCTCACTTCTCATATTTTCTCTCTGTTTCCATCTTCAAGTGATTGTATCTTTTTTATAACTTAGAAGGGATCTTTTCAGTAGCTCTTTGGGTTTTTCTGTTTTTAGAGTCAGATTTTGTTACTGGTAGTGTAAGCTGCAGTCTTGGCTTCTAACAAAGCATGTTGCTCTTTGTTCTCCGGTTGCATCATGAATGAATGCCAGCTCCGATGCTGAGTCACCTGTGGCAGTTGGACCGCTGGCATCTATGTGCCACGAGCTGGGAAAGGCTTGGAGCCAGAGCATCATCTTTGTGGGTAGAAGATTTGTGATACACAATTATAAGGCTGCTTGTTGTGATCTGCAAGTCAGTCTAGGCTTGAAGCTGGCTCATCAGTTTGTATCTTCAGTCGAATAGTTGAATCATAGACCTGAGTGTTTGAAAATGTTAAAGTAATAGAAAAATAATGGAATTATATACCAATAAAAAACACCCTTGTATTTCATGGTTTTATGTACTTGAATATCATGGGATACCAAAAACCCAAACATGGATGCTGCAGGCACTAAGTGGCCAGCTTCATCCTCAGGGCGGGTTCCCGTGTGACTACCAGAAGTCACGAGGGGAGCCCCTGTCTTTGTAAGCATTTAGGAGCAGGAGAGGGCCCTCCTGCAGCTGATGGGGCATATTTATGAGCTTGGCTCTGATCAGTCCCCCTCTGAACCAGTAGTTTTAGGCTGAGTGCAGATGTCCCAGGATTGGAGCTGGGAAAAGGGTCCTTCCTGTCCAATCTACATGGCCACATACAGGGGGAGAGTGGCCTGGATGGCAGCAGGTGCTACAGCACCAGGTACAGTTGGGTGTGTCACATCCTCAGCTGTTGTCGTCAGCCAGCTACACCTTCCTTTAGCCAGAGAAATCGGGCTCATTTCTGTTTCACGGCGAACTGATAGTTTCTCTGCTTGTTCTTCTGGGGCCCCGCAGATGGACTTCAGTGGTTCTTTTTGTGGAGCATGGTCATTTAAAGGAGTTCCATACTATCAGTCCAAGAAAAAGGTATACTCAATAGTATCTTCCTCCCTGTTGTCTCCAGTGTTTGCACAATGAGTGGCCATTTACATACATTTCTGATTTATCCTTATCTTTCTTTTTGCAAAAATGAACAAATGTATATACACAAAAGTGTTTTCTGATTTCCCTTTTCTTGCACTAAAGGTAGCATTCTATATGTCCTGTTCTGTACCTTTTCTTTTCCACTTAAAAATAATTATTCCCAGGGCACCTGGGTGGCTCAGTCGGCTAAGCGCCTGCCTTTGGCTCAGGTCATGATCCCAGGGTCCTGGGATCGAGCCCCACATCGGGCTCCCTGCTCAGCGGGAGCCTGCCTCTTCCTCTCCCTGCCATTCCCTCTGCTTGTGCTCTCTCTCTCAGCCAAATAAAATCTTTAAAAAAAATAATTATTCCTTTTCAGGACACTGAAGTCTTCTGAAATCTATCTGTCTTCATAGCTCTCTATCACCAATACATACCCTGTTTTATTCAATCTGTCCCCTTTGGAGGGGGTGTTTTGCATTGTTTTAGGTCTTTTGTTGTTATAAGGGAAACGCCACAGTGGATGATCTGGTATACGTGCTGTTTCATATTCATGGAGGTTAAAGTTCTAGAAGGTGAATGCAAATTCCTCTTAATAGGGTTGAACCATTACGCACTTTGCCTCAAGATGCTTGAGGTACCTGTTTGCCTTGGCCTTGCCGACAGGCTGTTGGACTTTCACTCTTCTCATGAGTAGCAAAGGGTGTTACCAGTGTATTTTGATTTGCTTTCTCTTATGAGTGAAGTTTAGTATTTTTTTCCTAACTGTAACAGCCATTTGCCTTTTTCTATGGACAGTTTGTCTTTTTGTTCAATTTTCTGTCAGTCTTTTGGTATTTTTTTTAATACGTTAAGAGCCTTTTATCTACTGGGGAGATCAGCACTCAGTTTCTTATACAAATCACAAACCTTTTCTCTTGATTTCTTAGTTGTCAGCTTTGTTTATACGGTATTTTACCCATGCAGAAATGTTTATTTTTTAGTGAAATGTATCCATCTCTCTTGTGTATTGCTTCTGGATTTAGAGTTTAGTTAACTGTGACTGCTTCTACTTCTGGAAGTTATTTTTGATTTTTTCCCTAATCAGAGCCTACCTTAGATACAGTTTGGAAAAATATGTCGCCTGAGACTGGATGTCTTTTGTTTTCACTGTAACATAGTCTTCAGGGGGCCACAGACACCACACATCAGAAGCAAAAGTGATCACTTTGGTCAAATTCAGACTAAGATATGACTGATTCAGGATCTCCCCACTGACCTGGGAGTCACACAGTGTCCATGCAACCCAGGTGACAGCAGACAGCTGTCATAACTCTAGCAAGCAAGGCTGCTCGGGCCTGTGTGGCCAGCTGGGACTCAGAGGGCGGGTCGCTTTCAGAAACAGCTTCTCTGTTTACACAAATGACAGGGTCACAGAGTATGATCTCCACGTTCCAAAGTTATAATACCAGAGTTTGAGGGCAAGTTTGAAATGGCATTTACACATCAGCTCTCTGGTTTAGTTCCTTACTGTCCTTCTAGCCTCCATAAAAATGTTTTATTCATGTGATTGAGTCCTATTTTTTCTTTTCTTGCCACCTTATGGATATTTTTGGTCATTTCATTTTTTTTTTTCCCCTTCTACTAGTTTGGAAGTTATACACTGTATTACTTTTTTTTTTTTTTTTTAAGGCCACACTAGAAATTGTAATGTATTCTTAGGTATGAGTGGGTCAGTATCTTTGTCCTCCTATCAACTAATGTAAGAGCTCTCATATATCTTATTCCATTAATTTCCTCTCTTGTTTTTTAACTTCATGAAGTACTGTTACTTTATACAATGAATGTTTCGTTAGATTTACCCACATTTTACTGCTTTGTCCTTTCAAATTTTCTTAGATGAAGGTCTGTTGGAAAACTATTTTTGTTTGCCTGAGTACATCCTTATTTTGCCCCCAATCCTGAAAGATATTTTCACTGGTTATAGCATTTTGGGATGTGGTAATTTTCTCCTGGAACATTGAAGAGGTCATTCCACTGGCCCCTGGTTTCCATTGCTGTGGTTGCAAAATCAGCCGTCAGTCTAACCGGAGCCCCTTTTCCAGACTCACCCTTGTCTTCCTCTCGGTGCTTTTCAGATTGTGTTGGTCTTGCTGTTATGCACTCTCACCCCAGGGTGGCTGGGCATGTGCTTTTATTTATCCTGTTGGAGATTCTTGGGGCTTCTTAGAACTTTGTGTTAGTGAGTCTCCTTTGTTCTCCTTAAAATAGCCTTCAGCCTTTCCTCTCCTCTCTTTTCAGAGCTTTGGTTAGGTTCTGACCAAATCCAGGCCTTCTGTCTCTCTTCTCTATGTCCCAGCTTCTCCCCCACATCTCCCATCCCCTCATTGCTGGGGCCCCGTTCTGGATAACTGCCCTTCCCTTCTCGTTCAGCTCACTCCTATCTCCTCAGGTGGTCAGCCCTGCTTGCAAGCCTGTCCGTGCGAAGAGTGTCTCTTTTACTTCTAGAAGTTCTTTCTGGTTCTTTTTCAAACCCTCCACATCTTTTTATAGTTCAGTTCCTTGCATATAATTTTAAAGTTTGTCTTTTATTTCTTTAAACACAGAAAGAATAATTGTTGTGTTATAATCTTATAATCTTGCCTGATAATTTCAGCATCTTCAGTCTCCACGGTCTGTTTCTGGCTGATTCTTGCTTGTGGGACCCTGGTTAGTTATTTTTAAACTGTGCTGTTTTCCTAGGAGAGTTATTTGTGGGAGTTCTTTGAGGCTTAGGGTGAAGGTACATGTCTCATGCCAGTGGAAACAGAAGGTAGATCTATTGTAGGAAGAACAGAGCATTCTGAAATGGAGTCAGAAGGATTTCGAATTATAGGGACATAGTCCCTGTTCCCAGACCTGTTGGATCATGTGTCTTTTACTTTTATTTATTTTTTAAAGATTTTATTTATTTATTTGACAGAGAAAGAGAGAGTTCACAAGCAGGGGAAGAGGCAGAGGAAGAGGGAGAAGCAGGCTCCCGGCTGAGCAGGGAGCCGGATGTGGGGCTCGATCTCAGGACCCTGGGATCGTGACCTGAGCCGAAGGCAGCCGCTTAACCGACTGAGCCACCCAGGCACCCCGGGTCATGTGTCTTTTAGAACTCAGTCTTTCTTCACTTACATTTTTTGGAAAGATCTTACGGTGCTTATGTTATGTGAAACCTGTAATTAAACATGCTAATATTGCAGCAGTATGAAATAAGCTTAGTCCCTTTAAATAGGATATATACAGACTGCAAATAGCCTCTTAGCAGTTCCAGTCAAACTTCTAGTGTCAGATGAGGTTTCTTTTTTTTTTTAAAGATTCATTCATTTATTTGAGAGCATGAGCATGAGTCTTGGGGGAGGGGGAAAGGGAGAGAGAGAATCCCAAGCCGACTCTCTGCTGAGTGTGGAGCCTGACGCAGGGCTTGATCTCATGAACTGAGATCATGACCTGAGCTGAAATCAAGTTGGATGCTCAATTGACAGCCACCCAGGTGCTCCTGCCAAATGAGTTTTGACATACATTTTCTAAAATGTTTTTGTATGCCAATTATACCTCTTTGAGGCTGCTTGGAAAAAGAGCTCTTTGAATTTTTAAATTGTGAATGAAAGTTTGTGTGCGCTCCTTTTATCAGATACTCTCTGCCTTCCATGTAGGTGTTGAGATACAGGTGAGAAATGGATCCCTCGTGCCTGATTGTTTAGGGTTTGGCCATGTGGGCAAAGACAGACGTGCTCCTACATGGTGGATAGTGTGCTTAGGTGTTTCCTCACCTTTTACCTGCTTTTACAAAATGATAGGCTGAGACCCCAGACTGGTGGTACCAGCTAGTGGCGGCTGCCGATAGTAGATCTGCTTGAGTCTAAGAACAAAATCTCAGTGTTTTTGTTTACATTTTGTAGCAGTGTCAAGTTTCAAGGCCCAAAGAGCATCCCAGACCATTGGGATCCCTCAGCCCTGCCAGACCCTGGCTTTAAGGTATGGGACTCACGCTGCCTTGGGCCATGGAGGAGGGTGTTCTTAGACATAGTGAGTAAGCAGACTCCACCACTGAAGAAGCTGTGAGGCCAGGCTGGGGCTGGAGGGAGGAGCTGTGTGGGGTTTTATTTTTAGGTCTTGGGGATTTTAAGGCTGGATCACCAGGAAGATGGTTGTGGCCCCAAGGGGAAAGGATGTATTGTGGATGAAGGATGATGACCTGGGAATTTCTGGAAAGGGCAGAATTAGGAGCTTAACAGCTGCTTAGCTAATACGTGTTAGTTTTACTAAGCAAGAAAACAAAACCGGGGGAGGATTTGCGTATGATGAGGGACATGTAGAGGGGAGTTGCTGTTGGAAAGTGCCAGATACCAGAAGACAGGAACACCAATTCACATGGCTCATGTCGGGCCTGCCAGCTGACAAGAGCTACACTGAGTTCTGTAGAGTACTCAGGCCATTGTCCACTACTGCCTCATGTATGTGGGGCCCTCAGACTGCCCTCTGTTGCTGGCCTCCTGCCAAGCACTGTGCAGATGGGCTCTGGGTCTGTCTGCTCTGAGAGCACTCCTCTCGTTGAGTTGTACCCAGACCCCAGCAGCCCAGACATACGTGCGAAGGGCGTGCGAGTCTGAACAGCAGTACTCAGTGTCACAGGATGAGGTGACCATATTAAGGGGAATAGGGAAGTCTTCACTGGGTCCACACCTAAGTGATGGCCGATGCTTCTACGTGCAGAAGTAGGGGACGAACATAAAGGTCAATGGAAACTGCATAGGGAAGGAGCCCAGGTCAGGATGGAGGGCGTGCATAGATGCTGGGGAACAGGAGGGAGGTCAGGGCTGGGCTGTGGAGAGCTTGGTTGTGGGGCTGAGCTGTAGGCCATGACAGGTATGGGAGCCCTTGACAGTCTGGTCTGGGGTGGGCAGGCTGGCCCCCACTTGAGGGAGAGGAGTTTGGTGTCCTCCCATGGGATGGGAGCAAGGAAACCAGAGTCAGTTTCAGTTGCAGGAGCCCTGTGGCCGTTCAGACTGCACTCAGGGTAGGGGAAGGCCATGTACAGAGGGGTTTCCCAGGGATCCCCTAACAGGCTGTCATCGGGCCAAGCCTCGTAGAGCCGGGAACAGGGCGGCTGGTTAAGTGCAGGCCGCAAGTGCAGGAATTTGTGGATTGTCACTGGGCAAAGGTCCGCTGCCCTTGGTCAGGGCCCCTCCTGGCCCCTAGGGGGTGCTATTTCCCAGAGCAAGGCACTGAGGGAGAGGTGGGCTTGGCTGGGAGGATGCAGTAGCCAGGCACCATCCTGCAAGTCTTCTTGGGCTCCTGAGTTGATGCGTGCCCGTCTGCCAGCCTGACCTCTTCCTTAGTGCTCGCAGTGAGGCATGCTCCTGCCGCATGCACTGCTGCCTGTGAGCCTGAACCTGCTTTAGCGGGGTTTGCCCCCCTCCGCATTACTGTGTGCACTCCACATTTACTGACACCAACTCTGATCCTGTAGACTATGTAGTCTGCCCTGTGTGGGTACAGAGGAGGAGCGGGAATGTCCTGGGGACACCCAGAGTGGTGCTGATGTGAGCATCACGTGCCTGTCCTTTAGGAGGGTTTCATAGTGAACAACAAACAAGCGACCACAAACTGCATACACCCCACGGCTGGAGAGACTACACCCCTGGGCGAAGGGAGAGTGGTGATCACTGTCTGGGCTTGCTGGCAGTTCTAGCATTTTATGAGCAGCCTTGGGAAGGGACTGATCTATATTTTACACTTTGAGGGTAACAGAGAAAAAATATTTGCTTCCTGCAGAAGATAACCCTCAATTCTTCATCAGACGAGTATCAAAAAGTCTGGAACCTATTCAACCGTACGCTGCCTTGCTACTTTGTTCAGAAGATTGAGCGAGTCCAGAATCTGGCCCTTTGGGAAGTCTACCAGTGGTACGTGAGGGGCCCACTCTTTCTGGGCTGGTGACCATCCCCTCCAGTACATACGTGGGAGGCTAACTGCTTGCCAAACGTGTCCTGGGTTTCAGGGACAATCTGAGATGGCAGCCACTGCTTGCCCAGTGCTGGTGGCATCGGGAGCTGTGTCCCTGCTTTCCTCCCAATCTCTCCATCTTTATCGCTTAGTGCTGGCACATCCCTCAGAGCTAAGGGGGCTCAAGCTGCCCTGGTGACAGCCAGCACTTGGGCTGGTGCTTTTTGCCTCCCTGTCCGAAGATCAGCAGACTGGTCCATGTCAGCCACCCACACCCAGAGGAAGATAGAACTGTTGTCCTGATAGCCAGGGAGCCAGGCCTCATTTTTGTGCGTGAGAACTAGCATGTTTTTGGGTGCTCAGCGACTTGTCCTTGTAGGGAGATCTGCAGCAGGTCACTAAGGCGGGCCTGGGGTCCTGCTGACCTGTCCCCAGAAGAGGGGTTGGAGCGGTGTCATCTGTACTCTGGGACCAGTGATGAAATCAGGGTAACTGAGGGGGAGAGGGATGGCCCCCCACTGACCAGCATGCTCCAGCTTCCCAGCTTCCCTAGCTAAGCTCCAGGGGAAGCAAGGTGGTGAGGAAGAAGTGGGTCTGGTCTGCTTCGGGAGTTCAAGAAGCGGAAGAGGCCTTGAGCTGTGGAGGCAAAGGCTTCCCTTGTGCTTTTCACCCTGGTCTCACGGGCCTGGACTCAGGATGCTTCTAATACAATGTGTTTTCTTGGGTCAAGTGGCCTGTATTTGACAGCGAGCACCCTCTGCCTCCTGTCCCATGATTCTAGGCAAAAAGGGCAGATGCAGAAGAGAAGCGGAGGGAAGGTGGTCGATGAGAGGCAGCTGTTCCATGGCACCAGTGCGAATTTCGTCGATGCCATCTGCCAGCAGAACTTTGACTGGCGGGTCTGTGGTCTTCATGGTACTTCCTACGGCAAGGGTAAGGGCAAAGGTGGCCCTGCTGACAGAACCTGGCTTTTCTCCCAGCGCCTGGGAAACCCTTTTAAAGCAAATTGATGGAGGGCATGGGGGAACCTGTGTGAGTTGATGAACTGGGTCAAACTCCGTGAGTTATGGACTCCTGGCCCTGTGGGGGGGGTGCCCAGCTGGTGGCACCCTTCCTCTCTGTGTGCAGCCAGGAGCCTCACCCAAGGTTCCAGCAGGAGCAGCCCTGCTCGGGCTGGGCTTTGTGTCCCTGTGGAGTGGAGGCCCTGGAGATGGTGAGCATGGGTGGGGGGAGGAGAGCAGGTGCCTTCCCAACCCCAAGTCTGGCCCCGGACCGTGCCCACGTGATCGTCAGAATGGGGATCTGAACACTTGAGATCCCAGTTGGAATGGGAGTTAGCTGTTTTCCTGTGTTATTTTTAAGCTTTATTTGGAAATAATTTCAAACTCACAGGGAAGTCTCAAGAATATTTTAAAAACAGCATAAATTTTACCTAGATTCATCAGCTTTAACCTTTTGCTGCATTGGCTTTATTTCTTTGGACCCATTTGCACGTAGGTGGCATACATCATGCCCTTTCCTCCTTGAGTGCCTCTTAAGAATAAGGACGTTCTTTGCTGTAACCATGACATGGTTGCTAAGTTGAAACTTCTCATATGATGTGATGCTGTAGTCAGCAGCCCCTCTTCCGACTCCATCACTTGTCCATCAATCAGCCTTAATCAGGTGTGGCAACAGCTGCGGGGGCAGGATGGATGGAAGCCAGTGGTGGGTCGTATATCCGAATGTGTGTGTGGCAGCCTCCAATGCAGGTCCCATTTGACGAGCTTTGGAATTCTCGATGCAGGGCTGCTGGTGGCTACAGTGCTCCATGTATGGGATCTTATGCTGTTTCTGCACCAACCCTATGAGGCTTGCAAGACAGCCCCATTTTAGAGCTGAGGAAGCTGAGGTTTGGGGGCTAGGGAGTGATGTGCCCAGGGGACTTTTAGGACTTGAGGGACCAAGTCAGAACTTGAGTTTTCTCTCTCAAAGTTTGGTGATGCCTCTGATGCCCTTCATGAGAGAAGAGGCTGGAGAAATGGGAGGACAGGAAAGCAGAGGCATCACCTGGCTGACGGGACACCCTAGACTCCCCTTCCAGGCTGCGGGCTACCCCCCGCCACCCAGCTGAGCCCACATGTGTCCTTGCAGGGAGCTACTTTGCCCGAGACGCCGCATATTCCCACCACTACAGCAAATCTGACACCAAGTCCCACATGATGTTCCTGGCCCGGGTGCTGGTGGGGGAGTTCATCCGAGGCAACGCCTCCTTCGTCCGCCCCCCGGCCAAGGAGGGCCTTGGCAACGTCTTCTACGACAGCTGCGTGAACAGCATGTCCGACCCCTCTATCTTCGTGGTCTTCGAGAAGCACCAGGTCTACCCGGAGTACGTCATCCAGTACTCCAGCTCCACCAAGCCTGTTGGGGGGGGGATCTCCACCTTCTTCTCCTTGGCGTCTTTCTTTGGGGGCCGGCAGTGAGCCTGCCAGGGTGTTTTTAATGCCTTTCAGGCCTGTCTTCCTTGGAGTAGCTATTGGGGAAGGTGTTTTTTTTTTTTTTTTTTTTTTTTTTAAACAAAAACTTTTAATGAACTGTTCATTTAACGTTGACTTCCTGATGAAGTTACATTCTTAATCTCTCACTGGTAATGGTTTTTGGTTTTAAGCCACTCTTGGGCTAGTTACTAGACTAACCAGAAGTGATTATAGGTGGTCCTGTTAATTGCCTTTTACTAGTGTGTTAAAGTTTTATTACTTACATTCTTTATTGACTTTGCGGCTGATTGGCACCAGGCACAGAGTTTCTAGATACTATTTTATGGATTGATTTTAAATTTAAGTTCCTGTCTCTGCAGTGAGTCATTTGTTTTTTCAGGGTCTCAGTGGCATCTTGTTTAATTTTTTGTCAAAATGACAGAGTAGCCATCAGTGCAGGAGGCCTCCCTGTCTCTTGCTCTGGCTCTAATCCAGGCACCTCTTCTCCTGGGCTTCTGGCCTTGGAGTCGGCCCATCAGTCACAGCGTGAGAGCAAGTGGCTACTCTGTGGCATCACTGGGGCCCTTTCGCGGGGTCCACATCATTCAGTGGAAGGTGACCAGGATGAGTGGCTGCCAAGGACCCCTGGGCTCTGCCCACGAAGGCCCATTCCCACATCTGAGCACACTGGACACCCTCTGAATGTGGGTTTTCTGTTCCTGTGAGATTTGAATACCTGTGCTGCAAATGTCACAACGGAGAATGGAAATAAAGGAATATTTATCTGAAGTGGGTGACAACCAAAGTTCATTCTTCAGCATCTATTTATCGAGCACCTGTGGGGTACAGACACTTTTCTGGGTGTTGGGATGTAACAGAGCCCCCAGTACTGGCCTTGGGGGCTGTGTGTGGACTTATCCTAAAGCTGATGAACCTGAAAGTTCAGGACCACTCACTTGCTGGGGCTTCTTCCACAACTGTAAGAGGGGCCCTAACTATATGGCCACATGGTCCTACATCTCCATTAAATTTGCAAAAGTTACATATTCATATTTTTTTTCTTTCCCCCAACCGCTATGAATTTCAAGTTCCACAAAACCCAGATTGACTACTGAGCAGAGTGTGTCGTGGACATGGAGGGGTGGGTGCGTTCTGAGTGTGTCTTGCACACATAGCAGTCGATGGGAGTCTTTTTTTTTTTTTTAGAAGATTTTATTTATTTATTTGACAGTGAGAGAGGGAGAAGCAGGCCTTGTGCTGAGCAGGGAGCCCCATGTGGGGTCAGATCCCAGGACCCTGGGACCATGACCTGAGCTGAAGGCAGCCACTTAACCAACTGAGCCACCCAGGCGTCCCGTCGATGGGAGTCTCTGCTGGGCACTGGCTGGCTCTGCTCCGGGGAGGAGGGGTGGGCAGGGCAGCTCTGTGTCATGAGGTGGCTCTCCTGTTGGTCTCTGGGTTCAGTCCTCAGCAATGGGCTCCTCCTCCTCCTCCCTTACACCCTTCTTGCCCATTCCCCCACCTTCCTAATACAGTGTGTCCACTCCACGGGATGCCTCCGCTTCTGTCACTTTGTCCTCAAGTTCTCAGATCCAAGGCTGTTGAGTTTTTCCATCTTTGGAACAGGTGTAGGGAATGCCCTGGAACCTTACACAGGTCAGCTAATCAAGGCAGAGAGCAAGTGAATTCTATGACCAGAAAAATGTAGTAACAGCAGTACTACCTTACCCACCTGCTGGGCTAGTCACCTGGTTGTACATGGAATGATTTTCAGAGCCACCAAAATATTTACCCTATACCCTGACTGATCCTGAAATTTTATTCATTGCTTTTCGATTGAGTCATGGTCCTACTACAGTGTAGGTGGGGGTTGGGGAGCAGAGGGGTGTCAGGGAGAACCATTAAATCAGGTGCTTGCCTCCTAAGTCTTAAATGTAAATGATCCCATGCTCATTAACCATCTGGCTGCTGGGAGCTGAATGGTGGGCAGCAAGGATGGTCCATTGGGGAGTGTGGGTGGGACGGATGTCTGGAGAGATCTGGTGTGGGAGGTGATCACATGCTCCAGAAAAGGCAGTTGAGCTACGAAGACTGCAGGGGCCCTGGATTTGCTCACCTTTCAGAAAGCAAGCCAGGAAGAACACCTACTTGGACCTGAAATTTGAGAGACGGACGGGGTCCGTGTGACCAGGTTGTGGGATCAGGGGGGTGGGCTGGTGATGGGATGAAGTCACAATGATGGTAACTCTCGGTGCAAAGAGGCGGTGGCACCCAGGGCAAGTGTGTGTGACTGACTAGGCACGAGGACCTGGCTGAGATCCAGCTAAAGGTCCTGTGGAGGGTCTAGTCCGTGCCATCTTCTGCCCCGTGGTAGCTGGCATTGCACATGGATGGTGGGATTTCAGGGGAGCTAGGGATTGTGGGTTGAAACAGTGGAAGGGCCGAGTCCAGCAATTCTAGAACATGAAGAAACCTCACCGCTGTGTCTGAAGATGGGAAGCACCTGGACAGAGAAGGTGAGGGAAGCCAATGGATGGAGCTGACGGGCCAGGGGCGCCGGGCGCAGGCTGTGCTCTGAGGAGGGAGCCAGGTGCTCCGTTGGGCCCTTCTCGAGGATGAGGCTCTGTGATGGCCATAGAGGGTCGGGGCTGGGAGATGGGCAGGTCAGTCAGGAAGGGCAGATGGGTCACCAGGAATGGGAACGTGTGGCTTTCTCCAATGAGTCTGAGCCCTAGGACCAGACATCTAGAAGGGGCTGGGGCCCAGACAGGAGCAGTGGTGAGAGTGAGGGTGGAGAGAGAGCTGTGTGATGGGCTGGCTGGGCAGCTCCTAGGGCTGGGACTGCGCTGGGGGACAAGGCTGCCTTCCTGTCTCCGGGGAAGGACTTTGGGGGAAGCATGGGGTCTTCTGGGCTGGAGTGGGAGAGGACCCAACGGCAGAGGCAGCATTCACAGCCGTGGATACATGGAAACCTCTTGTGCCAGCTCTCCTGAAACAGCCTAAAAGGTGGGTCAGCGTCTGGGCAGCCATGCTTCCTGGCTCCTGCTTGGAATGCTGTCTATAGGACATTCAGCCCCTTCATGCTGCTCGGATGGTGCAGAGGAGGGGGCTTTGATCGAGGTCAGCTGCCCGTTTTACAGATGAGGACACAGAGGCACAGGGACGTGGGAAGACCAGCAGCCACAGCCACACGTGGCCGGCCGCAGATGTGGGATTCAACTTGAGAGCCCTTCTCAGCAACACGATAGTTTTGACAAATTCGCGTCTACATTTTGACTCTTTGATCAAAATTAAGAGAAGGTCCGATGCCTACATTTCAGTCTCTCTCACTCTTCTGCGTATTAAAACCTTATAAAGTTAGTATTTTTTTTAATATAAAGTTAGTATTATCCTACCTAGGAAAATCAAAGCATAAGAAAGCTTTTGAGCCACTGTTGAAGCTGGGCTTCCGATGAATGTCATTTTTTAAGTCACACGCCCCGAGTGCACCAGAAGCTGAAGAGGCCCAGGAGCTGGTGCTGTCAGGGCAGCTCACCTGAGCGTCCCCGTGTCCTCTGCTCTATAGATGCCTTCCATCCTGAGGCCAGGACTTCCTTCAAGACCCCGAGTTCTCATTTTGACAAAATTACATTTTTTTGCAGTGGTTCATACATCATCAGCAAAGTCAAAACTAAGGGCAACAAACATTTATTAAGCATTTAGGAAATGTTATATAAAGACCTCTTTTATACTTGCATGTAAGGGACCCTTTCAATTGCTTCAGTGATGTTTTTGCTCAAAATCTGAATTTCCACATGAAGGTTTTCTTTGAATCTGGGAGTGTCCTCATAACACTGTCAGCGGGAGACAATCTTGATGTAGACACCATTCTTTGGACCTAGGGCAGATTTGGATTCTAGCTGCAGTGGTACCTAAAAGAGAGATGAAGAGACTGGTTACAGCTTACTGCATCTACAGGGAAACTTGTTTGGAACTGGGCCTGGGGTTGTGGAAATGAGAGACAGCAGGGGTGAGTGAGCAAAGCAGCCTCCCTAGCATGGCCTTGAGAAGCCAGCAAAGCTGCATCTCAGGGACACTGGGTGCTGGGGCCCCAGCAGCACACTGGTGCCTGACCCTCTTTCCTGTGTTAATAAAATGCCGCCAGTGAGTAAGGAACTTAGCATTTATCCTCCCAAGAAGCCTGCATAAGAAGTAGTAGTATCTCACTTTGCAAAAGAAGAAATGGAGGTTCAATGAGGCCAAGTGACTCGTCCAATGTCACACGACTGGGAAGTGAAGAGCAAAGCCTCAAACTCTCTCACTTCCCCTCCTCTCACTCCCCGGTGCCCTGGTGGTAACTGAGCAGCCCCCTCTCTTTCCAAGGGGCTTTGGGAGAGTGGCTTCTTACTGTCCCCTTCTCATGTGTGCCGTGCTCTAGCCTCACCGCCATTCAGAAAGCTTTCCTCATTAACTTACAAGGCAGATTGATGGTGGACTGGAGACTTGGAAGAAAAGCCAAAGAATTACTCAAGAAGCAGCGTGTCCCCTTGAGTCCTGGGTAAAATGATGGTTCAATGGCTAATGTGAATGAACGATTTAAGGGAAAGAAGAATCACCGGGCCTTAGTGTTGGGGTCTTGGTGGGCTTTTCAGATGTCTTTGGGGGCTATAGTTCAGATAGGAGACAAGTTATATCACCAAGAAACAAGATGAACTAAACTTGTGCTATCCCGTATGGTAGCCAGTAGCGCGCGTGGCAACTGAGCATTAGAAATATGCTTAGTGCAAATGAGGGGCTGCGTTTTTTACTTGATTATTAAAGTTTACGTAGCCACATATGACTAGCAGCTACCGAATTAACACCAGTCTAGACAAACTGGAAACACCATTGGACTTCCAAAAAGGAATCAGTTGGAGCTAGCAAAGTCAGGGAGGGCTTCCTGGAGGAACGGACACCTGAGGTGGGGCTAGCAATGGGAGAAGCCCTGTAAGCAGGACTTCTCAAGGGCCGCTTCGGGATCTGAGGGTACACCAAAGGATTTGGAAGATGGGATTAGGCTGGGGCCAGGGAAGTGGGGGCGGGCAATGGCATTCCAGCTAGGGAGGAGTGGGTAGAACCCTCCCAGAGTGGGAAGTTGGGGCAGAAAACACAAAGTGGGCTCAGACGAGCTCTCTGTAGATCCAGGAGGCTCAGGGACTCATGCCTGGTTCTTGAGCTGGGGAATGCCAGGCATAAGCAGGGTTTTGGGACAAATGCTGCTGTACTGTTTGTCAAGATCAAGGGGAAATGACACAAACCCCAAAAGGAAGTCCTGCACACACGGAACACCTCAGTCATTAGGGGGCCTGCCCTTCTCTCTGCTGGTTTGGCTCTGTGTTCCCAATTTGCCCCTCCCTCTCTCCAGCCTTGAACCCAGTCTCTGTTTGTCAGAGGCAATGCCACTCTTGGACTCTAGAAGTTGTCCATTTCATCACTGTGTACTTAGTACCTGTCCCCATTCACGCTCGTGTCCGGCTGTGCAGAGGGCTCCTGAACAGGCATGAAGGGGGCACCATGTTCAGGCTGTGTAGGCACAGCAGACACCGCAGAGGCAGCTAGAGGGAGAAGAAGCAGGGAGGCTTGGGGGGTGCGCCAGATCTGGTTGGAGCCCGTTTCTTCGCTCCCTGGCTAGTCATTCATTTGCTCTTTGAACATCCGTTCAGTGAACGCGTGAGCACCTGCGCTGGTCCTTGTGCTGGAGACTGCAACAGTGAATAGGACAGACTTGGTTCCTGCCCTCACAGAGCCTGCAGCCCAAGTGCGTGGCCTCA